CTGCACTGATGAGCTCCAACACGAGAACAACAGTGAGGATGGCCCAGGACCGGGCAGTGTTACTATTGTATTTAGGGTGTCTAGGAGTTGTGACTGACTTGAGGGCACCTAACAAAACTACAACGAGTTACAGTCTCAGAAACCCACACAGACAGTTCTGCTTTGTCCTACTGAGTGGCTATGAGTCAGAACTGGCTCCATGTAGTGAGTTTGTTTTGAATGTGATGGCTGGAACTGCTTTTCTTTGGTGCGATGTATGATGTTAGCTGGTATTAGTGATTTTGTGGACCTTATATGGCCCTAGGGATAGATTTTCCCCACCCCTGTTCTAGAACTTAAGTATCCCCAAACAGGAGATTATAAATTTTCTCCATAAAAGGACCCAACTGATTACCCTAAAAAAATCCTCCAAAAAACAAATAAAACCCCACTGCTATTGAGTCAAAATGTGCTTGATACAATTAATGCACGGATTGTTATAAGAGCAGTAAGAGCCCCCAATAAAATGATTTATAAAAAAATTCTGATTACCCTAGAAAAAGGTAATGACATCTATGGTTTCCTACTGCCCACCCCAACAACAGAGTTGTGTCCTCAAGCTTAGACCTTCCAATCAGCATTTAATTAATGCTTTGCAAGCATGAGTGGTAGCTACGGATCATTAAAGATAGAGATCCAAACAAAATAGGATTGCTGAGGTAATAGAAATGATAGGAAAGAAAAAAGGCAAGGAAACTGTAATTAATACAATCAAAGATAAAATACGGTATCCTTAAACAAGAAGAGAAATGATTAAGAAAATAAAGAGAATTAGAGCTAAAAAAAACAATAAAAATTTGATTAAAAGTCAAGGTACTTTTTCAGAAAGCAGAAGAAAGAGATAACTAATAGGAAACAAACGTGAGAATGGAAAAAGCAATCCAAGAGGTCTAATCTGTGATGAATGGGAATTCAAGGATGAGAGAACAGTTGAAAATAAAGAGGATAAACTATTTAAAAAGATAAGACAAGAAACCTCCCCCAAATGGGAAGATACAAGTTTGGAGACTACTGAGTACTCAGCAAATAAATGAAAATGATGTATCACTATAAAATTTCAGAAAGACAGGCATGAATCAAATAATCAACTCTAGAAAAAGCAGAAGGGGGGGGGGGAATCAGGAAATAGAATGGCAATGGGTCCCTAAATAGCAAATCTGAAAGCAAGATATTAGAGTAATGCATTAAATTTTCTGAGCAAAAATGATTTTCAACTTAGAATTATTTACTCATTTAAAATAACTACAGGAGCACAGGAGTCTCTGGATGGCACAATTAATGTGCTTGGTTGCTAACTAAATGACTGGAGGTTCAGTCCACACATAGGTGCCTTGGTAGAAAGGCTTTGTTACCTACTTCCCCAAAGTTTAACTATTGGAAAATCTATAGAGCACACCTGGTACTCCGATGAACATGGGGTTACCTTAAAGTTGAAATTGGTTCATTTTAAAGGCGAATGTAACATATTCAGGTTTGAAAAATCTAAAATAATTACCTCCAGCTACCCCTCCCAGGAAGCCACTAAAGCAGTGGTTCTTAATCTTCCTAATACTATGGCCCTTTAATACAGTTCCTCATGTTGTGGTGACCCCCAACCATAAAATTATTTTTGTTGCTACTTCATACCTGTAATTTTGCTACTGTTATGAATTGGGCAATCCTGTGAAAGGGTCCTTTGACCCCCAAAGGGGTTGCGACCCACAGGTCGAGAACCGCTGCACTAGGGGCTATGCTCCTGTAAAATCAGGGAAACGATGCAGACATAGGGTATAGGAAATCAGAGGTTTACACAGGAAGCAGGTGTAGGGAATTCCCAGGAGAAGAAAAAAGAGGTGACAAGACAACAACAGCTGTGAACAGACCCAAAGAGCAGTCAAGACTGAATGGGAAAGACTGTTGGCTCTAGGACAGAAATCTTAGGAATGAATGGACCTTCTTATGGCATAGGTGATACTGAAGACAAGCTGAAGCCTGTGGGAGGACAGATTCAAATGCAAAGATAACGAAGCCAAAAATTTTAAATGATTAAATTAGAAAACTAAGTTTTATGAGGAAACATTATACCACCATGCACTAATTATTATTGAATAGTATTATTATTTCATAATATTAATACAGTCATAATGAAGACCCTACATGTAGATTTAACGTATGTTAATTAAAGATATCAGGATGATGAGATCAAAGGAAAGAAGGTATAAGCCTTAAAATGATGTAGGAGGAAATTGGTAATGTCAAATATTGGTGAGCCATTTATTATAATAAAATTTAGAATACAGTTAAGGATCAGAATGCCTCAACAGCTACAACACTGAGCTCAAACATACCAGTTATCATGAAGATGGCAAAGAATCGGTGACGTTACATTCTATTATACATAAGGGAGTATCATGATTCAAAACCAATTCGACAGCAGCTAACAATAACATTAACATGGACTTTTCTACAACAGAGTCCATTAACTGACACAATAAGGAGATAAGTACTCAATGCAGCAGCTAAAGCAGTGAAAGTGAATTCTCTCAAGAATGACATGGGACAAAAGATGAATGGGTATGCAGTGGAGGAGGAATTTCCTATACTCATCTCTATTAATCTTTCAGAAATAATTTTAAGCTAAATTAATGTATTGTTTTTATCTCAGTTTACTTCACCTAAAACAAAATCCAATTAGACAAATTTTGGTAAATGCATACAGTTGTGAAAATGAACAGCATAATCAACTTTTAAAACAATTCCCTAAAAGTTGTTTTTTCTTTGCAATTACCTACTCCTACCTTAGGTGCTGGGTAGCTACTCCTGTAGTTTCTGTCACTATAATTTTGTATATTCTAGAATTTCGCACAAGTAGAAATATATAGTATGTAATCTTTTGCATCTGGTTTATTTTCTTAGCATGGTGCTTTTAGCACTTAAGTTCAGGTCTAGGGTCAACTTTAAATAAATTTGGGGGATGGGGGGAGCCGGGAGGGAGGGGAAAAATGAGGACCTAATGTCGGGGGTTTAAGTGGAGAGAAAATGTTTTGAGCATGAAGTATAAATGCGCTTTACACAATTGATGTGTGTATGGATTGTGATAAGAGTTGTATGAGCCCCTAATAAAATGAGTAAAAAAAATAAAAAATTTGGGGGTTTAGTGTGAGGGTAAGGTTATGGATCTTTGTTTTCACCCATCAGTATTCTTTTTTGAAAGGTACTACTCTTTGCTCACTGAATTAACTTGTTATCTTGCCAAAAATCAATTACCATATTAAATGGGGTTCTATTTCTAGATTTCTAAGTATTACATCTATCTGTACTGTCCTTATACCAATCCATTACTATTTTGATTTTTATAACTTTATAGCAAGTCTCAGGAGCCCTGGTGGCATAGCGGTTATGAGTTGGATTGCTAACCGTAAGGCCAGTAGTTTGGAACCACCAGTTGCTCTGTGGGAGAAAGACGGGCTTTCTACTCAGAAACTTACAATATTGGGAACTCACAGGGGTCGTTCTATTTTGTCCTATAGGCTTGCTATGAGTCAGAACAGACTTGATGGCAAAGAGTTAGTCAACTGATGGAAGAGTTCTGGTGGTGTGGTGGGTTATGCATTGTGCTGTTAACTGAAAGAGCATAAGTTCAAAACCAGCCACTCTGTGGGAGAAAGATAAGGCATTCTGCTCGGAAGACTTACAGTCTTGGAAACCAACAGAAGATTTTAAGGCTAGAATAGTTTGTTAAATGTAGAACACCTAGCGGAATTCCTCTGCTACAGTTGGGGCTTTCTACTCTTGTAGAATTACACTCTGGTCAGGATTGACTTAATGGCAGTGATAGCAAGTCTCAAAGGTGTTAAGTCCCTGTATTTTCTTCTTCTTTAAAAAAAATCATTTTATTGAGGGCTCTTACAGCTCTTATAACATACCATACATCAATTGTATCAAGCATATTTGTACAAATGTTGCCATCATCATTTCCAAAACATTTTCTACTTGAGCCCTTGGTATAAGTTCCTCCCTCCCCCACCCACTCTCCCACCCTCATATATCCTTGATCAATTATAAATTGTTATTTCATATCTTACACTGTCCATTGTCTCCCTTCACCCACATTTCTGTTATTTGTCCCTCTGGGGGCGGTGGTAGTGGTGGCTATATACCCAATCTTGTGATGGGTTCCCACTTTCTTACCCTTTCGGACCATCCCCCTACCCTCATGATATCACTATTCCCATTACTGTTCCTGAAGGGTTTATCTGTCCTGAATTCTATGGGCCGAGAGCTCTTATCTGTACCAATGTATGTTCTGTGGTCCAGATTTGTAAGTTAGAACTGGGTCATGGTAGTTGGGGGAGGAAGTATTCAGGAGCTAGAGGAATGATGTGCAATTCGTCGGTGCTATATTGCACCTTGGTTGAATCATCCCTTCGTTATACCACTTCTATGGGGGGGGATATCCAATTACAGATGGGCTTTGGGTCTCCACTCCGTATTTTATTCTTTAGAACATTTAAAATTATGTTATATTTGATGATTTGCATTTAGTGTGTAGAACCAACTTAGCAATTTCTGTGAAAAAGTTGTAGGATTTTGATTGATTCTACAGATACATTTTGTGTGAATTGCTATTCGAACAATTTCAGCCTCCCAATTAAAAAACATGGAGTGTTTGTTAATTATTAAGGTCTTTGTTTTTTTTGGTCAGCAATACAAATATTTTTTGGTATAGACACCTTGCATGTCCTTTGTTAAGAAAAGTAACTACATAAGAAACAAAAATTTCTACATAAATAGGGAAAATACCATAAGCAGAAGCAAAAAATAAACTTGGAAAGATTCTTCTTTGCTCATGTGACTGAAAAAAAAAATCAAATTCATACTGTATAGATGAAACAACCCAATAGAAAAGTGGGCAAAAGAGTATGAATTGAGAGTTCATAGAAAAAGAAATGTACATAGACAACATATTGAAAATTGCTCACCTTCACTTGTAATAAAAATGCCAATTAGTAGTCCCTGGCCGCAGAAAATGGTTAAGCACTCTACTACTAGACAAAAGGCTGGAGGTTTGAGCCCACCTAAAGTCACCGCAGAAGTGAGGCCTGACAATCTGCTTCAGAAAAACCTGAAAACAAAACACAAAACCGAAAATGAAAATACCATATCTATGACCATGAAGTAAATTCCAAGTATTAGCAATTCTAAATGACACAGAACGGCCCCATTGAGTTTCCAAGGCTTTAATCTTTATGGAAGTAGACGACTACATCTTACTCCGGTGGAGTCCATGGTGGGTTTGAACCACCAATGTTTTGACTAGTAGCCACTGTGTCAAAGCCACTGTGACAACCTTGAGAACCTTATGGAACAGTTCTACTATGTACACACAGAGTCTCTATGAGTCAGAAACACCACCAAGCTTTATTAAAGAGCTTACCTACACAAGAATTGTAAAGCTATAAAAATATCAATCACATGATGTAACATTTCACCTATCAGATTTGTAGAGAGAAAAAACAAAAACAAAAATTGGTAGAACAAAAAGCAAAAAGACCCAGAAATTGAAAACAAGGGTAAAAAACATAAAAGGATCCAAGAGGCCCAACAACCAAACAGAAGAAAGTAGAGAAAAATAAAAGATCTAAAATAAATAAAAGAAGAATATGTCTGAGCTAGAGACATTTATATGTTCAAATTAAATGAGAGGCGACTGAGCAGAATAAGTGTAAAAAAAAAATGTTACCAGCAAAAAAAGAGAAATATGAAAGGTTTCATAAGGAGGGGGAAACAACTGATAACATGGAAAATTATAACAATGGTTTGATAGGCAACCTGTTATCAGGCACACTCAGAAATGAAAAACTACACAGTGATTAAAGTCTGATGTAAAATAATGACTAGTATTTCTACACTCAACCTAACTACCATGTGTAATGAAAAGACAAAGTGTGAGGGGCTGCAAAAAGCTTGTGGAAAATGGAATGAAAAGATAATGGATGTCGTATTTCCAGTTCTTTAAATTCTTTTAAGTGTTATTTTCCATAAGCTAATTCTGAGGCAGTTAATTGAGTAAGTATTTCAGTCAACCAAATGTAGGGATCAAAAAAAGGGAAGACATACTAGAAATTGTAGTGCTCAAAAGAAATTTAAATACCTAAGTTAGAGAGAAAAAAAAAGTCACACTGATAGTTAACACTTTAATCAAGCACAGGAATAATTGGCCAATTTAGAGGATGACTCCTGTGTGGCCCAAATAAAAACGTATTCAAGAAAAAGAGAATAAATTTTAAGCAGCAGATAAAGGAATTAAGAAGTTAGGTAGTGTTAATGACATTTATTTATTTCCAAAATAGGAAAAATAAGGTAATTGGCAACTTTAGGAAAAAACAAACAAAAAGTATAATAAAACTCATGCTCAAAATATGAAGCAAAACATTGCACAATTTTGAGTTTTTGGTAGAGTGCTTGAAAGAAAAGCTATGTGACCTGATTGCTGAGTAGTCTCTATGTGGTTCATGATATTGCACATTCAGAGAAAGACATCTAATTCTAGCACTTTAAAACAAAGATTTGACCTTTTGTAGCTGATATCTGAAAATAGCCGGCGTAATTAAGTGCTTGAAGACATTCTAAAATAGCCAGGCAAGTTGGGGCTGCATTGGACCCACACCTAACAACAAACTTCAGGAAGAGAGGGAGCATGTAATTATTGAGTGGATTGATATTACTGTGTATGATGCTTCTAACTAATACATTCATTGAGGTTCCAATTATTAGAAGACTGGCCCTTAGTTAGTGCTTGCTCTCCTTGGGGCTTCTGGGACTTGTGAGGACATCCAGCAGAGGGAAAGGTGTGGAATGGGGCAATGAAAGACTCATGCCACAATTGATGTATGTGTGGATTGTGATAAGAGTTGTATGAGCCCTAATAAAATGATTTAAAAAAAAAAGCCTCATGCAGAGCTTGCTCCCAGAACCTTATAAAAATGAGTAAATACTTTAGGTACTAATTTCTTTGAAATTAGAGCTGGGGAAGCTGGAGATCACAGAAAGGCTGGAGAGGCAGTGGAAGAATGGTAAGAGTTCTACTAGCGCATGGCTGAGTACTAAGGATGGTGGTGATTGTTAGGTGCCTCCAAGTTTGTTCTGACTCCTAGTTTTGAGAATGATGAGGGCAACGGATGTATAAGTGTGCTTTACACAATTGACGTATGTGTGGATTGTGATATGAGTTGTATGAGCCCTAATAAAATGATTAAAAACACACACACAAAAAACCTATGCACTAAAGAATGAAACACTGCTCAGTCCTGCACCAGCCTCACAATTGTTCTTATGTCTAATCCCACTGTTGCAGGCAGTGTCAGTCCATCTTTTCATCAGCATTCTTTTTTTTTGGCATGATGTCCTTCTCAAGGGACTGGTCTCTACTGACAGTATGTACAAAATACATGAGGGACAAAGTCTCACCATCCTTGCCTCTAAGGAGTATTCTGGGTGTATTTTTTCCAAGACATATTTTTTGTTTCTTTGGTAATCTGTGGACTTTGAATATCCTTTGCAATACCATAAATCAATGCACAAATTCTTCTGCCGCCTTCCTTATTATTCTGTGTCCAACTTTCACATGTATATGAAGTGACAGGCACATCATAGTCCTCAAAATAACTTCTTTGCTTTTCAACACTTTAAGGAGGTCTTGTGCAACAGATTTTTTTAATGTAACATTGTTTGATCTCCTGACTGCTGCTTCCATGAATACTGATTGTGGATCCAAGCAAGCTAAAACCCTTGACAACTTCATTCTTTTTTCTCTGATCATAATGACCAATCTATTGGTCCAGTTGTGAGGATTTGGGTTTTCTGGTTAGCACATGAGGCCTGGTGGTGTAGTGATTACACATTGGGGTGAGGTCCATAGGTCAGCAATTCAAAACCCTCAGTGGAGAAAGATGAGGTTTTCTATTCCCATAAACAGTTACTGTCTCAGAAACTCAAGCATAGCTCTACCCTTCCCTACAGGGTTGCTATGAGTCAGCATCAACTTGATGGCAGTAAGTTTGGTTTGTTGTTAGTGTATAATTAAGTAAATAAGTAAGTATTTGAAAAACAAACAGTATCAGGGTTACAGGAAGGCTTATTAATAACATGAAATATTCAAAGACAAAAGCTTACATGCTGAAAGTGAGGGTGACTTGAAGCACCTGCTGGTGAAAATCAAAGACTAAAGCATTCACTGTGGATTGTGTAACTCCATGTAAAGAAAACAAAAATCCTTACAACTGAACCAATCGACAACTTCATGACAGAGAAAAGACTGAAGTTTCAAGGAATTAAATTTTCTTGGATCTATAATCAGTGCTTATGGAAGTAGCAGTCATGAAAATCTGCTTTCACAAGACCTCTTTAAATTGCAAAGATGTCACTTTGAGGATTAAGTTGTGCCTGACCAAAGCCAGGCTATTTTCAATCACCTCATATCCATGAAAAGCAAGATGGTGACTAAATAAGACCACAGGAGAATTGATACTTTTGGATTATGGAGTTGGAAAAGAACACTGAAAGGACCATGGAATGTCAAAATATATTTATCTCAGAAGTACAATTACAATGCTCCTTGTAAGTGAGTATGGCAACACTTCACTACACATACTTTGGACATGTTATCAAGAGACCTGTTCCTGGAAGAGGAAATTCTGCTTGGTAAAGTAGAGGGTGCGGGTACAAGAAAGGCACTAGATTAGAAGGCTGCAACAATGGACTCAAAGATAACAGCAATTGTGAGGATGGCACAGCATCACGCAGTGTTACGTTCTGTTGTACGAGAGTCATTATGAGTCGTAGCCAACTCTATGGCACCACACACAAGGCACGCACACAGATAAGGAGGGGATGGGAAAGAAGCCAGTCTGAAGTACGGGGAGTTGTTCAGATGCCTGAACCTATGGCTAGCTATCTGGAGACCTGCCTATCTGGCCAGGGATGTATTGACTTGACTCAGGATGACCTAACATTGGATAGTTAGGGTCAGAATGAAAATTATCAGGAAAATGGCTAGAGGAGAGGATGAGAAATGTGAGAAGATGAGGTGGATTGGATCCACTTCCAGCTGGGAATTGATTCATGCTGATCTTTCTAGCAGTTAGTTATAAACAAGGGGAGGGGGATGGAGCGGGGAGTAAAAAATGCCCCTTTCATAGTACAGTTTGTACCACAAAATGCTACTTTACTTGCGGAATGTCACATTTTTACATAATCATAATAATGTAAACATAGCTAGCTTCAACCATTAAAATCTATCAGAAGCCAAAGCATAAGAGTATTAAACTATGTCCGGTTATAGAACAGAATTTGAATATTATCACTGACAACAATGTAAAAGCAATTGCATATATAATGTGTTGTGGAAGGGTAATAAGTCTGGTGAAATGGGCTTAGCAGCACTCTCTGCTAACCAAGAGATCCTGCTCCAAGGAAGAAAGCCAAGGCCGCCTGCTCCTGTCAAGAGTAACAGTCTCTACAACTCACAGGGGCAGCTCTGTTCTGTCCTGAAGGGCCACTATGAGTCAGAATCAACTTGACAGCAATGGTTTTTGTGCTTTTTGGAGACGTGTGTGTGTGTGTGTGTGTGTGTGTGTGTCTAAGAATGGGTGAAGAGGTGAAAGAAAGTAGTAGTACTTATTTAAGATAACAGAGAATAAGGAATATAGCCAAAAGTTGATGTGGTAAGAAAAGCACCTAGATTTACATATACTAAAAGTAGAACTCAAAAGTCACTGTCAAGGAGTCGACGGCATCTCCTAGTGACCTTATAGGAGAGAGGAGAACTGCCCTCATGATTTTCTAAGACAGAAAACTTCATCTGTCTCTTGTTGAGTGGCTGATGGGTTTGAACTGCTGAGCCTGTGATTAGGGACCCAGCCAGGAACTCACTCCACCTCTACACTATGACACCACAGTACAAGAAAAACTAAAGAGAGGGATAAGAGAAGGATGGCAAG